ATGCTCAGTGGACTTCAGTTTTCTAATCTGAAGAGTAGGGAAAAATTGATACATGAACTGTAGTGATCCTTGCAGCTGTAATAGTCCATGATTCATTTAATGTTGATTACAAAATGCTAACACTGAACATCTCCAGATGCTGGTAAATAAGGTAAGGCACATTTACCAGTGTTAAAATATACATCGAAAATTATTCATCATCACCTATTTAATTTGTACTTCTCCCCTCAATTAAAGTGCCATCTATGAAGAAAGAGATAATGTTTGTACAAAAATCCACAAAATGTATCTTATTAAAGAAACTGGTAAAGATTCATAAGAAACAATTCAGAAATTTCTTTCTAACAAAGGCAATGGAACAAAGACTATCTGGAGTACTTCACAATTAATCCTCTATCTTTACTTACTTTAATACTTGTGATCATACCCTTAGTGGGTTTATTTGTTTGTTTTTTTCCTGTCTTCCTGGGATTTTTTGATTAATTGAATTTCTTCTCTGTTTTATACATGTACACAATGCATTTTTATTACTCCAATTCCTTATAGAGCTTCCTCAAAAATCCTTTTTCTTTTTTGGTGTGTATTTATTTTTTATTTTTATAATTGTAATTAGACCAATTTTAAATTAGAAACAAGCTTCTTTCAAAAATGATGTCTTTTTGTTTTACGATTCATTGAGTTTAACCAGGCTTATCTATATGTATATAGGTATAACTATCCACTGGTGTCTACTGAACTTACCAGTGGGTGTACAACTTAAGGCAATGTCTGCCTTCTTTAAGTATGCATCAATTTTCAATAGTTTTCTAGAGAAATCTAGGGCACCATGAATCCTCCCTTACCCATGACTGACTGTTGACAAGCCAGATATTGTACAGGACCAATTCAAAGGTTGCAACCATTATAGGTTCATTATTGTAACATTTGTGTCATGTCTAGAAACGACATTTTGAAGTCCTTCTGCTCATCTTCTAATTCTTATCCTCTATCTATCATCTCCTTTGCAATGTTCACAAAGCCTTAAAGATGGTAATATAAATGTCTAAATTAAATGTTCTCAGCACCTGGTGCAGCCATGATCATGGCATTTACTACCTTTCACTGTAATTAGAAGCTTCTCTGATTAAGACTAGGAATAGAATTTGAACAACTCATTTAAAATTAGGCTATAAAACTGAGCTAAGAGCTTTCAAAATTTAAAGCAATATATAATAATGGCTAGTAACCATCTAAAATATTTTCAACAAATTTAGGCAATACAAAATTGAGACAAAAATTCTGAGACTCCACCTTAGCTGAATCAAAATGATCCCAATAAAAAATTTAAATGATCCAAAGAAGAATCTTTATACACTATCAATATGTGTGTAAATCAGTTTAGCAACTGTTTGTCTGATTTGTATTTCCTTTTGTACTTATAAATATTAAAAGTTTTGATGGAGTAAATATAGTCCACATAACCAATAAGATGAATACTTTTCTGTAACTTTTCTTCAGGTTTTGTGATAAACCCATGTAGATATAATTCTCCCACATACAGTAATATTAACTTACACTCTGGGACTAAGACTTTATGAGTACAAACAGTTATTTTATATTCAAGACTAATTCAATTATAAGACTGTGAAATCTGTTGTAAAACTTGTTCCCTTATCTTCAAGATAAATTTTTTTCAGATTTTTAAATTTTGAATTAGAAATAAGATTGTTTTACATGTCAATCCCAGTTCCCTCTCCCTCCCTTCTTCCCCTACCACTCTCCCCCAACTAAAATTTCTACTTATCACATATCCTTTCTGCTCCCCAGGGAGGGTGAGACCTTCCATAGGGGGTAATCAGAGTCTATCATATCCTTTGGGATACGGCCACCCCTGTGTGTCTTGGCTCAGGGATTATCCCTCTATGTGGAATGGGCTCCCAAACTCCACACCTATGCTAGGGATAATTACTGATCTACTACAGGAGGTCTCATAGATTTCTGAGGTCTCCTCACTGAAAACCATGTTTCTGGGGTCTAGATCAGTCCCATGCTGGTTTCCAAGCTATCAGTCTGGGGACCAAGAGATCCCCGTTGTTCAGGTCAGCTGTTTCTGTGGGTTTCACCAGCCTTGTCTGGACCCCTTTGCTTATCACTCTCGGCCTTCTCTGCAACTGGATTCCAGTTCAGTTCAGTGAATAGTTCTGGGTATCTGCTTCTACTTCCACCAGCTGCTGGATGAAGGCTATAGGATGGAATATAAGTCAGCCATCAATCTCATTATCAGGGGAGGGCATTTAAGGTAGCTTCTCCTCTGTTGCTTAGATTGTTAGTTCGTTTCATTTTTGTAGATCTCCAGACATTTCCCTAGTCATGATAAATTCTAATTTAAAATCTACAGTATCATACTACCTAATAAAAATGTATTCAGAGAAACTTTCTACAATTTTTAAGTTTTCTAAGGACAACTGCTAAAGTAAGCTAGATTCAGTGATTCCACATTATCCACAAATATTTGTATTCCAAACTGACTTTTGATGGCTGTATGCCAAAAGGAATAGATATTTGCATTTACATAAATTAACTCTAAAATATGAATTTGTCAAAAAATTCAAGGGATTATTGTTTTTCATTATGGGCATCAAGATACTTAGGGAAAGATAATTGCCCTCTGCCATTTATGTGTATAGTGCTGCTACTGCTGTTTTGGATATTCTGATTAAAATTTAATCTGATTTTCACAAACTTTATAGAAATACACTAACAAAGAGTTTCTTTCCTTTATATAAAAACACAGTTATATGTGATTGCTTGCATGGGTACATGAAAGATGGGTGAATATAAGAAGGTATGTTTTTTGTAGGTTCCAATAAAGAATTCCAATAAAGAATGAACAAGTTTAGTATTTACACTATATTTTATCTTCCAATCTCTCAAGCAAACAGAGCAAACCGTCCATTTTGTTTATTTCACAATTGCAGAGAATCACTGTGTCTCTTCCTCTCATACACCACAAAATAGCACAATGTGTAAATATAAGAAATCACAGGAACCATCATCTTGACTAGTTTTCACAATAGAAAGTAGACAATGTTAGTATCTCCTTTCAGTATACATCTAGTTATATATCTATCATCCATATATGTCAAGGACATTCCTATCTCTCTACAACTTTAACCACTGCAGAAACCTTAAGTCAATACTCTCTTATATCTTTCATTAATAGAAAATTTTAGTCATTTTCCTTAACTATGTTCCTTTCACAACACTAGGCTATGCAAAATTTAATAGCCACACTAATCAACTAGAAGCATGACCAAAATAATGTCATTTCATAATGACAAAGATTTTGCAGTGACTTATTAGTAAGTGACTACCTCATCTGTCCTTCATAGACTTCTTTTGATGGTTCTTCTTTCTATATAGTATCTGTTATCTAAACTAGTCTACAGGGTATGGACACATTTTTAGCTCTGTGCCTCTTTTCATTACCCCTTCTAAAGTATTGTTTTCTTACATCACCTCATAACAACATTCCATTTGTTTTTCACAATTTCATATCCAAGTCCAGACACTAAATATTAAATTAATATTAGGAAAATATAATGTTATAATAATGGGTAACTATTATTAGTAATAGTCCTGTGATGTTAATTCCTACTCAAAATACAATCAATTCTACTAGAACTGTGTGATGGAATATAGCTTTAAATGAAAAGGTTTTCATGGGGCTGAACAAAGATGTAGATTTAACTTCAACTCTATTATCAGAACAATTTCTTGGGGAAATTATTTACTCAATCAGTATATAATATTGAGAGATACTAATTATACAAGGAAATTTAGAACATTATATAAATAATGATGTAATCTAAATATAATGTTTGACGTATCTGTACTTGATAGATAATTTTTTTCTAAATGCTTTTCCGATAGTATTCCACTGTATTTTACAATACACTGTTCCTGCTAAAAGCTTTGTTGTCAGTCTATTTTAATTCCTTGGTAAGTAATATGTCTTCTTTTGCTTCCTTTCTTTGACTTTTATGTCTCATTTCCCTGACAAATGACTAGTTGTAAATTGCTTTCAATTAGTTCTACTCAGTCTATTCTGTGCATATTGATTCTTTACCTTTATATATTTCACAAGTTCTAGAAAACTCAAGATATTACTTGTATTGTTTATTTTTAGCATGTTTTTCCATTATTAATTACAGTTAGACACTTACTGGATAGTCTATCATTTAGCCTGAAACATTAAAATCTTTATCTTTCTGTCCTGTATACTATGAAAAATTTCTAGAACTTCATTCCAAATAATTTTTCTATTTTTATTTGTCTAGTCTACCATCTAAACTGTTCACAGCCAAGCGTAGTAGCACATGCCTTTAAGAATGTGAATATGTAAGTTTAAGTAGTCAAAGTCATCCTTGAACACAGAGTTCAGGGTCAACCAGTGACATGCGACATTGTCCCAAAAAATCAAATAAAATCTATTCCTATGATTACCTATTATCTAAGCACTTATGCATTGGATTTGCTTCATAGATTCTATTTATTATAAACACACATGATCACAGTAGTGGTTTGAAACAAAATGGCCTTCAAAGAGAGTGGCACTATTAGGAGCTGTGTCTTTTTTGGAATATTAGTGGCCTTGTAGGAAGAGATGTGTCACTGTAGGGATGGGCTTGGAGGTCTCCAACAGTCAACTTATGCCCAGTATCACAGTTTTCTTCCTTTTGTCTGCAGAACAAGATGTAGAACTCAGCTCCTTCTCCAGCATCATATCTGACTGCATGCCACCATGTTGTACCATGATGGTCATAGACTAAAACTCTGAAACTGTAAGCCAGCCGAATTAAATGATTTACTTTATAAAAGTTGCTGTGGTCATGGTGTCTCTTCACAGCAGCAGAAACTCTAACTAAGACAATCACTTTGAACATTCTCTTACTAGTCCCATAGTTTTGAATTTATTTATTGAAACATTTTCAACAAAGTATGTGTCATATTAGAGACTATAAATCTGTAAATCTTTTGATGTATATACTTAGTGTCTTCTTATACTCATGATTTTACATAGCATGTTCCAGATTTTCATTTTACACGAGGTAAACCTTAAGTCACGAGAACATCTGTTAGTTAGTCACGAGACATGTGTTAGCAATGTTTTTCTGCAGACAGTTCCCTGTTCATTTGTACTTGGAGCCTACAAATGTTCCTAAGATGGTGCCAATCTAGGGTCCCATATATTCCCAATGTCAACACTGTCAACTCTTTCATCTTAAAATTCAGCCAAGAGTTAGTTCTTCTAATTTCATGCTTATTTTAGTATTTTGACTTCTTACTCACTTCTTTTGCTATTTATTTACTATCACTCTCTTTACATGCTGATTTTGGTTTATGTACTTTTAGTGTGGAAGTGACTTGAAATGGTACTTCATGTAACAAGTGCAAATGAGAATAAAAATAGTTTGATATACAATGAATTGTATTACTGTCTGCTTTAGGAAATATTTCCTCTTCACATGTATTGAAAGGTTAGAGGTCATATAAAATTTTATTACTGCATTTTATTGTTGTAACAGCTGAGCCATTTCTCCAGCTCAAAAACCTTGAAAAGACTAAGATTATATGCATTCATGTACATATAAGAAAACAAGCTATCCTACTGATGCTTGAATCTCTACAAGTGATCTTAGGTATCACAAACTATACCTGATCAGTTAAGGAAA